TTTTTTTTTTTTTTTTTTTAAATCACCCTGCAAAGTAGGTCACCTGCTCCTCTTCCAGCTGCCTTTGAGCTTCTTTGGAACAAGGCAGATACTATCCTTTGATTCTGAAGGCGTTCGCCTCTCTGCCCCCACGTACCTCGAAGGGAGGACACTGGCCAATTCGAGGCCCAGGTCAGAGAGGAGGCGAGGAAGGGAAACGGAGGGAGGCGGAGAGAAGAGGTGAAGGGGTGGGAAGTCGGAGCCCACATTGGACTCTGACCTAGTTGGGACTGAGCTTGCTGGTAAGTTCATGTGTTCACTTAAAGGGTGTCCACGTGGCCTTTGAAACGGCCTGTGGGGTTCAGATGACCGGGAAGGCCCAGCCCGCCTTAGGCGACGGCAGGTCTCCGGGCACTAGGTGTGTGTGCTGGTGTCTGGGGCCGTTCCGAGTTGAGCAGCCAAGTCTCTCTTCCCAGGGGCTGGCCGGAGACCTATGACATGAATTCCTCGGAGGCCAAGACCGAGCCGGAGACCGTGACCCCCGGGGGCCGGCCCCCGTACCGCAGCAACGCTCCCTGGCAGTGGAGCGGACCTGCGTCCCACAACTCTCTACCAGCCTCCAAGTGGGCCGTTCCCTCCGCCCCCGGCCACGTCCAGTCCCTGAGCCGGCCCCCAAAGCAGGCCCCCATGGTCCCTTTCCGGGAGTCCCAGCCCCTGCACAGCAAGAGGTAAGGACCCTCATCCCTCACTCGGCACCCTCTGTCTCTCCTTCACCCCTTTCTGTCAGTGGCTCCCTCACTTCAGCCCTTCACCTTTCCCCCTGTTCTTAGGCCACCCTCCCTCCCATCTCCCTTCTTTTCTTTCCTTAAACTCGGTTATGAGGTGCCTGTGAGAGGACCCGGTGCTGGGGAGCTCCGTGCCTGAGGTTGGAAACCCACCATACCCTGTATGATTAAAATTGTGGGTTTTTTAAAAGACCAAGAAATTTGCTGATAAGCACAAATTTTAAGATTACCTCTGGGGGGCAGTGGGCGGAGGGGACGAGAAACCCGGGGATGGATGTGCACCGCCACCCTCTTGGGCTGGGCGGGCGCCTTGGGGGTTTGTGATGATGACCTGCACCTTAGGGGCATTCGCTGGAGTATGTTAAACAGTAAGTACTTCCAAAAAGCAGAGCATTCCTTCCAGCAGAGGAACTTCGGTCTGAGTGGGCAAGAACATCCCCAGCCGCCTGTCAGGGCTGGAAGCTGAGGGTGGGTGAGGAAGGGCAGGGGCCGCCGGGGCAGAAGCAGCCCTGGGGGGAGGGAAGCCTGTGAGGGCTGAGCCCAGGGAAAGCCTGGTGGTCTGTGCTGGTGGGCAGGGGTGCTCTCCTCACTCACTCCTGCCTCCCTCCTCTCCCCTTCCAGGCCTGTCAGCTTCCCGGAAACCCCTTACACAGCGTCACCAGCAGGGGCCGACAAAGCCCCACCCTACCGGCAGCCTTCTGGGAGCTTCTCCACCCCGGGCTCAGCCACCTATGCCAGATACAAGCCATCTCCAGAAAGGTCAGAAATCCTCACGCTCTTCAAATTAAGGAATCTGATGAGAGCTGGGGAGGCTGTGCCCCAGGAAATGCACATACCCCACCAGTTTATTTGCCGTTCCATGGCTTTTCTGGCTCCCCGCCAGTCACCAGACGACCTCCAGAAGGGGTGGCCTGTGTCTGTTAGGATTTAGGGACAGACTGGCCTGGGCAGGACTCTCCTGGCGGCAGACTCTCAGTTGCCAGTTTCCTGACCCTGTCACCCGACGTGCGTGAGACCTGTCACCCTGTGTCCATGAGACCCATCACCCCACGTGCATGAGACCCCCGTCACCCGACGTGCATGAGATCGCCCATACAGCTCCTCGTCTGACTCCCCCGAACCCCAGCTGTCAGACACCAGGCCACCAGCACCCCCTATTTTCCTAGACTCTCGGGCTTCACTTCTACCCCTGGCAGCCCAAGGTGTCTCCCAGCTGCAGCATGGCTCCCAGTGTCCTCGGGATAATCTTGCTCCCGCTGCCTGCAGCCCCAACGCCCTAAGCCCTTCCTGGGTTCCTGTCTCGGGCAGTCTCCTCTGCAGCTTCCCCTCCCCTGCTGTGGTCCATCCGGCCTCCTGGGCATCTCTGCACACACTCCCTGGGCTCTGCTTGACTTCCTGGTCCACCCTCTGCCCAGAGTCGGCCTTTGTCTGGCCTAGTCTGTCTCCTGCTCCAAGCCCTGCCACGTGTCCCGGAACCTCACCTCCGGCTGGGGCTGCTCCAGCCCCAGCCACATCCCGCAGCAGCGCCGCCCTGCCGATCCTGCTGTGAGCACTCGGGAAACAAACAAGCGCAGCCGCCCTCGGTGACCATCCGTGCCGGGGCCGCTTTGCCAGGGGCGGCCGGCAAAGCGAAGATCGCTTTCGTTTTGTTCCCTTCCTGGACACGCTAGAAGCCAAGCTTGGGGAGGGCGGGCCTCATGGGTGCTTCCTTGGCAGGTGAGTGGGCAAGAGTTTCAGAAAGCGCAGTGCACCCTCAGGTGGCCCTCTGCTGCCGGTGGCCCTGAATTAGGGGGTTGGATTTGGCCTTTTGGAGACGCCTGAGCCTGGACCGGCAGGGCGCCTGGAGCAGTCAGTGAGCTGCTTGTGTGGACGTTGGTGGCGCCACTTTGTCACGCCCCAGATTCAAAGTGTGGGTACAAGCAGCCAAGTGGGGTGTTGCGATAGCTCTTGTATTTTGGGGGGGCTCGGTAACTTCCCCAAGGTACAGGCCGACGTTAGTGGGGTTGCTGCTGACTTGTAAGTAAGCGAACTACGACTCAGGCTTTGAGGGGTGTTAGCTCACAGAAAAGGAAACTCAGGAGGGCAGGCTCCCGGGAGGTTAACCCGGTACCTCAGCATTATTGTCAAGGGCAGACTCCTGCCAGCTCCTCTCTGCCCTTCGGTACCAGCTTCACCCTCAGGCTGCCACATGTGGGCAGAAGCAGCTCATGGTGTGAGAACTGGACCCAGCAATGCCACAGATGCCTGGGAGGCCATCGTTTCTCATCCTCTCTCTTAGAAGCCAGGTGCTATTTCCCAAAAGTCCCCAGCAGACGGCCCCCCGATATCAGCCATTATTATGCTGGGTAACAAACGTCTGAAGATCTGTGACTAAATCCACAGACCTCTCAGAACCCAGGCTGTCGCCGCAGCCAGCATCTCCAGGCCACTTCCTGCGCGGTCGTGGGCAGAGCCAGGCGCCCGGCCCCGCCCGGGCAGTCGCAGGCCAGGAAAGGCCGCCCCGCCGCACGCTTGCCAGGTGGAGAGCCGAGAGCCTTCGCAGGAGTCCTCACACATCCCCGCACGTCTCATTGCCGGCCGCGGCCTCTGCCTGTCCCTGCACCCCCCAGGCAGGAGAAGGGTCCCGGCCAGGACGGGCTGGGACCTGGCATGGACTGCGGGGCGCCCTCAGGACTCAGTGCCAGCCTAGAGAACCCCCTGCCACTTGCCCATGGCCGGGCAGAGCCCGCCTCCAAGGGCCTCCGGGAGTCAGCGTTGCCCTCGTCCGCTCTGCAGCCTTGCGAGGTGTCAGAAGGGACGGCTGCTCCTGAGATCGGGGAGCACTTGCCGGCTGTGGTCACCCCGCTGCTCCTTGTGGCACCGACCGCCAACAGAGGGACACCCACAGAGGTCACTGCTTGTCCCGACTTGCCCAGGTTGTGCGGTGGCCTCAGGCTAAGCCCCGCACACGCAGCCCCAGTTCAGTGAGCGCCTTGTGACAGCCAGGGACACCGAGGCTCAGGGCTAGAGAGTGACCAGACCTGGCTGGGCGTGAGGCTGTGGTGAGGTTTGAACCCTGACTTACCAGGCTCCGGACCTCTTGCACCCACAAAGGCTCCCTTACCACACTCTGCTCCGCCAGAGAAAGGGCGGCAGTGGGGAGCTGCTGCCAGCAGCGTCGCCCATTCCTCAGCCTCCGAGCAGGGCCCCCCAAGGGGCCTAAGGGTAGAACCATTAGTTCAGGGGCTCCTGCCCCTCCTGCCTTAGGGACCCCGCCTCGCAGGCAGCCACTCCCTGCCGCCGCTAGCTCCCTGGCAGCCTCCCAGGCGAGCTCACGCCTGACCCTGAGCTAATAGCAGGCTTACTCACCCAGCCTTGCCCTCTGCCCGCCAGGCCGAGCCTCGTGCATTTAAACCCCACCGGGGAGCAGAGTGCAGGCTCAGGCGCTCTGGGCTCACCCCACGCTTGTCTCCTCTGCTGCCTGCAGGTATGCGGCCGCCCCACACCCCCTGCTTTCCTTTGATCCCCACTTTGGCCATGATGGAACATCCAGTGGAGACTCCTCCTCAGGCGGCCTGACCAGCCAGGAGAGCACCATGGAGCGCCAGAAGCCAGGTAGGGCATCCGTGAGCCAGCTGCGCCTCCTGCTTCGGCCAGCGGGACCTCCTCACGACACCCGCCCCCTGCCAGCGTGGAGGAAGCAGGGGGCCACCGGTAGACTAGAGGGCCCACCCCAGAGAGTCAAGGGCACCAGAGCACTGGAACCGGGTCTGTCCAGACAGGGCCTCGCAGGTGGTGGCTGCCGGCACTGTCCCGAGCCAGAGGGCCTAGCACAGACGCGGGCCGGGCAGCAGAGGTGGTTCCTGCAGCGGCGGTAGCTTGAGGGTGAGCGCCAGCAGCCGGGCGCAGAGCCCGCCGCTCTGTGTGGCTCGTCCTCACACAGTCCTGCGCGCTTTCGGCTGTGACACGCAGAGGAAGTGCGGAGGAGCCCACAAGCGCGCAGCTTAATAAGCCTTCGCAAGGCGAATGCACCCAGGGCAGTAAACAGCATGGCTGGTCTCCCCAAAGCCCCCCAGACCCCCAGAGGCCACCCCTGCCCTGCCGCTCACGGCCCAGCGTCACGTCGCTGGTTTGGAACCCCCCTTGATGGCGGCCAGACTCGCCCGGGGTGCTGGTCTGTGCATCTGGGTTCTGTTGCTCAGTGTTACATTTGTGGGAGCCCCCCCACGCGCTGTCACCCCGTCCTGGTGTGGGTGTTCCCCTAAGGTTTGGGACCTTAGGACAGTGCTTCTGCCAATGTCCCCATACGCGTACTGAAGAGCACGCACACTTCTGCAGGCTGGACACCTCGCGTACACTCGACCTCGGGGAACTGCCAGCGAGCCCCCGGGGTGACCGGGCCCACTGCCCCCCCCGGCCCCCTGAGACATAGCGGAGTCACAGTGGCCCCATCTCCCCAGCCTTCTCACTTCAGCCACAGCAGCGACCTACGTGGGATCGCCTTGTTTTAATTACCTCCAGAGGCCTGATGAGATGGCGCATCTGCTCATGTTTATTCCCCTTTCGCCAGGGGCCCCCAGTTTGTGTGGATTACTAACCACGGGCATGCGCTACTTGGGTGAATGTTCTCGGTGCTGTTTCACACCATAGCTCCTTGACCCCTGAGATTCCTCCAGATTAAGGGGGGAGACGTTCAGAGAAAAACCAGTGAAGCATCAGACCTCTTACATCGGAGAAGAAAAACATGGTGATGGCTCTTAGGGAATGTTCCAGAACTTCCAGGCAACTGGAAAGGGGGGTGGCCAGACTGGCACATCACCAGCTCTCCCAGACACTGTGGGGTAGGCCAGGGGGTG